GTTGATGGAGAAACAACGCCCTGGAGAACTGGATTTGACATTAGGACGCGATAAGACGGAGAAGATAGATTTGTGTAAACGCTGAATGTTTGGGTATGACGAAGGAGAATTGGAGGCGTTGTTTGGAATGAGGTTGTGAGAATGTGAGGGCCTTGTGAGGGATGCGAGATAAGAAAACGTTAAGTATTTTGTGCAAAGACGATAACAAAAGGAAAATGGTTCAAGAAGGAGATGATTTGAAATATACTTTTTATGGCTAATTCATATGCTTCAGATGTCGAGGCACCTAAAATTACTTCTTCTAACGCAATAGGACGCGTTACTTCTATCTCAACTGACATGCCCTTACGGATATTATTCTGCATTGCAAATTCTTTTGCAATATAACATAAATTTTCCTATAACGATATTTGATTATATATGACTGAGCCTCCCTCCATCAAAATTCCTCACTCCACTAATTGCTCTCACCTTTTCAGGTCCTATTTTACATGATTTGGCAAAGACGATGATGGATTTTATCAAAGACGTGTCATGTATATCTTTTTGTTCCCCTAGATGCAAGTTGCTATCGACATCAGCAGGAGTCAAAGCGACGCAGAGATATGTATTTGGCGAGTTGTTGTTGGATGTGTTATCTAATAAAAGTCGAGCTTTGTTAATACAAAGGCAAGAGAACGATCTGTAATAGTTGCTAAGAAAGTGACAATCAATTGATATACAGTGAACTTTCTCTAAATGCAATGCATCGACCAAATCAGACAGGCATTTACGGAGGGTTTGTATTCCGAGCTTGCATTTAGAGAGGGTTCACTGTGTGTGTATATATATATTACAACCTCCATTCTCTGAAATTTGAGAAATGTATAATGCATTCCATAAGTGTTCGGCTATTCCTACAAGGTTATTATCGTATATCTGCGAATCAAGCAAATCTATCCTAGCAACATGTCGCTTTTGAGTCAACATTCCTACCATTGCTGAATAGAAAAACTACTTTGGTAATGAAAAAAGTTCACACTCGTGAACGTTAACGTCACTTTAAGAATTTTATGTCATAGCTCAGCGATCTACATCTGTTTGTATTAATATAGTAACCTAACCCAAATTTGGTGAGATGTCCCAAAATTTCCCATAACGCTTAAATAAAACCTTGAGTAAGTTTTTTTTTAAATGCTGGTTTGGTGCACTGGGATTCCTCCACTTAATGTGGGTGGAGCCTCGGTGCCGAAATGACATATGGAAGCATCTCTGTACATGGTGTAGAGTTCCAGTCAACGAACCGCCGAATAAATCGAAACTCTCCTGTTGTTTATGCAATGGGAAGGAGTAGGCCACCATATATTCCTAATCTTTCCGTAATTGCTACTATGTGGCTTTGACGGTTGGGAAAAACCATATGGGGGATATTTGAACGTTTTTCCGAGGAAAGTAAACAGTTTTTTTTATATATTAGAATTCGGAATAAGTTAGTCAAAGTTCGACTCGATAGTGGACTCGAGCACAGGTCGATACTGGGCCAAAACGTTTACGTTCATTTGATACTTGTCTTCAATTTTAATTTGTTATCATCATTATCTGTTGGATTACTGAAAATCTACAACATCCACATCTTCACTCAATTGCTACATTAACTAAAAGCGAAAGAATAAAATAATAATAAGGAAACTAGTATTACACAAAAAAGTTACAAGGTATTAAGAATCAAAAACGAAGAAATCACAGAATGACTGGTTTTTATCATATTCTTTATACAGCAAATAAATTTTCTTGATAACATTAATCATTATGAGTGTCCTGTACTAATAACTGTTGAATATTCATTCTTTGTCTTGGCGATCCACCCATTTCCTCATCTCCTTCCCTTTCGTCATCGTCATCGTCATCGCCATCATCGTCGTCGTCTTCCAACATTTTTTCCTCCCCCTGCTGCCGTTTTTCATTGCTAATTTTCTTTTCTCTATCTTCATTATTAGCTTCCTCACCTCCACTACTACTTGACTCCCTCTCATCGATGTCCATTAAGACCCTTTTTTTATTTTTATCAGCCTCAGACTTCTTTGAACTACTTAACGATAACAATACATGAGCCTCCTCATGATTTATACACTCGCATTCCCGCGACATATTCCTACATCCCTCAGTCGGTACACTGTTGTGTAACGGTCCATCTAGGCTAAATGGTGGCGGATGAGAGATACGACCACCGTGATCGAGTATATTACATGAGTGTGTGAAGGAGGTAGATACAGCCTCGTGAGTAGATACGGTGGGAGTGGAGTCGGATGCCGGGTTTGACTGTGATGCTGTGACTGAAGACGAGGAACTTGCGCTAGTAACGCTAGCGGGGGAAGAAGCCTTAGAATTCCTTTTTATATATTCTTCTTTTTTCTCTTTTGTATTTTCATTCCACTTATTCCCACTTCCGACGCTTCTCCTTGGAATCTTGTATTTATCGAACTTGGACCTTTTACTACGTCTCACCATATCGTCGTCCTCGTCGTGCTCAACCCCCCTCCCTCTTACTTTCTTTTCTTTGTCTTTATAATCAGCGACAAGCTCCTGTAGATATTGAATATAATCTATAGCATTCTGTAATATGTTCAACTTGTGTAAATGGTCTTGATCTGCACAACAAGGAATCAAATCTTTCAATTGCATTATCTTGTCATTAATCCTCTCTCGTCGCCTCCGTTCTATGGCAGAGTGAGATACCTTCCTCTGTAATTCGCGCTGATCAGCAGTGGTTAAAGACTTATCTGTTGCATTCGAATATCTATGATTATGAGGGACTAGGGGATGAATTACCGAGGTGTGGTGAGACATGACAGGACGACTGTTTGGTGATGTGTTTAGACCAGTTGTTTGCGGTGCTAGCGGGATTGAGAACACTGATGTGCTTGGACCTTGTTTAGGTAGTATTGGTTCATAGCGCGTTGAAGATGATTGTTGTAATTGTGGGTGCGGTTGATATGGCTGCTGTATTGATATGGATGGAAGAGTCTGTAGTGGTGGAGGAAGTTTGAAGGGTTGTGAGTTCTGTTCTGAATGTCGTGGATTTGAGAACGGAGATACTGGCGGAGTTTCGAACGGAGGGAAATGTGCTTGTTGCTGTGGTGTTGCTTTCGTGAGGGGAGATTGGGAAGGTGATATCATCAGCATTGGAGGTGGTGCTGGGACTATAGGTCGGAATACTGTTGGCGTGTGGTTTGGATGAGGTTGTTGCTGTTGCATTGTTTAGAGAAACTGTCGAATTATATGTACACTGACCGAATACCTGTAAAATGACGACAACAGATTCTTTAGTATAATAATAACAACAATCATATGATACTTCTACTATCGCACATCAACATTCGTAGTTGCTTTCTGGCAGGCGATTTTCTGTTTTCTAATCATATTGGTTTTTGCCGTCAACATTGTATTTACGCAACTTACTTCTAAAACAGTATAGTACGAGAAGGAAAAAAGTTTCTCAGCAAACGAAGAGAGAGTGTGGGGGGATATTTATGTGTCTGTGAATAGTTTGAATGAAATGGCGGTAGTCAAGAACAAAACGTGTGGTTATGATTGGTTAACAAACTCAGGTGTATTCGTATTAAGCTTCGATTGGTTGATTAAATTAGTAGGCTTGAGTCTGAAAAAGGAAAAGTCGAGAATTGAGTTTAGAAGCGAGTGTATTTATATATTTAGTTTTAATTAACTAAACAAACTAAACATTGATCCGGTAGGTATTTATTTAACTTGAGGGCCGATCATTGTTATTGATTCCTGCCAATGGAATTTACACGTGGACTCGAGAAAGAATACCGTAAGCACAATTGAGATGATAATCAACACAACAGATTAACAACAACGCATGGACCCGTTCAACACAAGAGATAACGATAAGTAAAAAAAGTAAATGCTTGATGCATCCCATCGTACAGTAATAGCGCATATGCGAGCATAGCGAAGTCTCTTTCGCTCGCCTCATGCCAGTTCCTCTATTTCAAGTCATCTTACAGTTTCATCTTCATTTAAACAATGGATGTCTCCTTTTGGATCAATATTTGGACATACTACAGCAAAAACCAGTATTCAACGGGGAGACTATGAGCGAATTTTTTAACAAGACAAGAATACAGAACGTGACTATTGTTGTAGTATATAGCTACATATTTAAGTAAAAGGTGTGAAAACTGCGGACAAGGAAAATGTTATGCAAGTTAGAATGGAAGACCAAAGAATAACAAGTGATAATCAGTCAAGCAATGAATGGACTCGTATATTGATGATAAGATGGTGGGCCGTTACTGTTATTGAAATGAACCCTTGTGCCCATCTGCTTTGTTTGCTGCAGCAGCCCGCTTTAGATGTGGTGTGCACGCATGTGACTGAATTAAATAATCCCGTTGGCTGTCTGATTTATCTCGCATTTTACAGCTAATTATTACTACTATTATATATTATTCGATGACGCCATTCGGACGTTTGTGCTGCAATTAATATACACATGACTACTCCATTTGATCATTCCCATTACCGTTACTGTTACCCAATTTAAGAATCCCAAATGAAGTTTTCGTAATACTAAGTCTTTCATGAGTTTGCTTTCTGTTCATTGGTTCCAGGATGACTAAATGGAGAATAAGCCTGGTCGCGTGCTGAAAACAAGATCAATCAGTAGCAAACTTGATAAACCACACACATTGTTTTGCGGAACATGACTGTAAGCAAAACGATCAAGGATACAATTACATAGTCACTCTCGATTAATAATAAGCATGTGATAAGATAATCGGCCTAGCACGATGGTTTTCCCCGAAACCAGATTGTAAATTATCAATCTCAAAATAACATATAGAGTATGTTACAACAAACCAGACAACGTGAATATTTGATTGCATGAGCAAAACATGTTTGGTACACACTAATATAAATAATAATGTTTTGATGTTTTGGAGGTTTGTGTTTTTTATTAATGGTGTTTTGGAAGGCTTTGCTTGAGTGGCACAACTGTGACTAGGTGCAAAACCCGTGAATTAATTTTTGGTTGCAATTTTAAGTCCGTATTAAGACAAACGTAACAAATACTCAGGATAAACTTTTGCTTAAAGTTTATAACTAATGTAGGATTATTTCTATAAAAATTTCAAACTTGTTAATATTAAACCACTATGGGACTAAACAATTGTAACGCTATTAGGAGCATTTTAAAGAAGAAATTTTTACTTAAAACTGATAATACTCAAACTCTCCAGGAATATTTAGATAAAAAATTATACCAAAAAAGAAAAAAGACATAAATAATAAATGAATATTAATATTATTGTTCTGACCCAAATCGAAATTGACCCAATTCGGAATAGGGTCGACCCAAATCGCGATCGCGTTTCGGGTTGGCCC